GTTCCGGAAAGGATTTGTGTTTTTGCGTCCTGTCTCCCTCTCTCTCTGTCATGACGTTTGATTTTTTTTATTACCTCGATTGGTGTTAAACGAAATCAACTGTCGATCGATATGTGCCATCTGGCTAAGATGTTGATAATGACAATGATAGTCATAGAGCTATGAGTGAGCTATAAATCATAAAGTAGATAAAATGATGACCTCGTCGCGCGTATCTGCCAGCTGTAAAAATACAACGGACTCGTAGGAAAGAGAAAATTAAACTTGCATCGTCGAATTAAGGATGTTTTGAGTATTGAAAATGGCAATTATATTGCTAGACAGATGCACACGGTAATAGCAGTCAAATATCGTACTTTTTTGTATTTCTGTTGATAAATATGTGAAAACGTTTTGCAAAAGAAAACGTTTTCCAGACAACTATTTTTGAAGTCACTTAGATATGAATCTGACTAACAAAACAATTAGATATACATCGTTAAAATAAAATATTGTTTTTCAAATATATATGTTTAAAGAGAAAAAGGAAGATAACTAGAAGTGTATCTATAGAAAGGATGAAAGATAGTTATTATACGCAAGTTCTCTCTAGAAGTACATATACATCATTATTCATTACGTATCGTATTCATGTCGCGTCAGTCGACGATATTTTGTTTGCTTCGGGTCGCATGACCAGAAAATATGGACGTATATTAATGGATCATAACTCGAGCAGTCTATGTCGATTCTCATGTGTCATAACGTGTTCCTAGCTGCGGTTGCGAAATGCTCGCCACCCGCGAACGACGACGGACAGAGTGAGAAAATCACTCTCCGCTCTGCGCGCGCCGCCTCTGTACTCGTCGGCGCAATAACGATGATCCCTTTTAATCAATTAGCTTGACGGCGAAACGTGAGGCAACCGACCAACATGAGGTTAGCTCTGCGCCGCGCTCTAAGACGATGCATCGCCGCCATGCACCGCAGAAAATGGCGGTTCCTCGACCACGGATATTAATTATCTGGGGCAAAGATGCGCTCGGCGCACAATGCACTCGGCTCCGCCGCCGCCGGCGCAAACGCAGCGTGACTTTCGCTTTTCCTTACCGTATAACCACCATCTGTCTAGCACCGACAGCAAACTACTACACGTCGTTACTGTACTGCTACATGTACATATGCGCGTAAGAATTATTTATATTTTTTGCATTTATATGTTTTTTTTACAATATTTTGTAAAACAAATGAATTTTATGAAACTTTTAAACTTTATTTAGCTTCATATATGTTGCAACATCGTCTTTTCTTCTTTTTTTTTCCCTTTTCACGCGACTTTTGCATTCGCTCGGGACGTGCCTAAATGCTGGAAAAACTACGCAGTGTCGAAGAATACTTTCCTCTCTCGCGCGAAAACGAAAGTCGCGCACTTGCAAAATACTTGAGCTAACAAGGAAGCGCGGACTGCGCCTTCCCGATTACCGAAAGATGCATTTGCGTCACGATGCATTCCTGCATGAGGTTTTTTTACGTAAATAGAAGGCTCGTTGCTTGATTTGACCTTTTTCTTTATGAAATGTTTTTATAATTTGAAAATAAATTTAGCTTGAACGTAAACTGGACCATGTGCTGAGAAAAAAATTAATATATGATAAATTAAAACATAAATATATTTTGAATTTAATAAAAACACAATTTTGTGTCAAACATATGTGTTTTCACAGTTTATTATAATGTTTGAATAAGAGAACAAGCCATTGTAAAGATTAATCCTGTCTCTACGGTTCATAAATGCGGTGCTACGATTGTAACGTTGACAAACGTAAAAAATCGAGACAAAGTATTTTCTCGGAACACATTGAATAGCCGTTCTGTAATTTCGCGCGGTCATAGAAGCCGCTTGTCGCCGAACCCGAATACAAATTGCAGGCCGCATGCGATCAGAAGAGCGCATCTACCTCGCGGGATCCTTGAGGTGCAGCTGTAATTAACTGGTTTTGTCACCTACAATTAACGATGAGTCACAAGACATAATGCGACGAGAGGAGGACAGATTCTGATTTATGTAAATACGCATTAACATCTTCGGTCAACGATAAAACAATATGATTATCTGATCAGAGAAACAAAAGAAGAAATGTTTTTACGGTAATTTGGAAAAGCAAAGACCCGACACTTTGAAGTTAGAATGTTAAATATTCTTTGATTATGTAATAGGAAATTCAAGTGGGATTATCATGAAAAAGAAAAGCGTCGAATTAGTGCCGTACATCATTGCGCGCTCACGAAAGTGATTAATAAATTTTTTTTCTCTCCATAAATCAGACTAATAATGATGCACCTGCGAGACTTTCGAAAGAGAATCAGCCTGTGTTCAATTAAATTTTTAGCATAAAATTCCGCCCGTCTCACGGAAATGCGAGATTTATATTTATTTAGTCGCATATATATAGAAGCGATATTTCTTTCTCACGTAATCCGAGTGTATTCAGTATGTTTGTAAAACTGGCCAGAGGTAGGAAATATTCGCGTGACGGAATGCATCCTCCGATTTTTAGCGGCAATCAGTGAACCATCGACGAATGCGCCACGACACACGGTGGATCGTGCACATCTTTTTCATCGACACGCGATACTCTCATGTCGCAAGAATCGATCAAATCAACTTAGATCGAGACGGACATACGCGAAACCGGGCCAGCAGCGGCAGCAACGATCCGTATTACCGCAATCTGCTTGTCATAGACGGCGCATAGTCGCGAATCCCGCGAGCCGCGCGCTATCGCGTTATTGCTACACGGAGCAATAATAAATCGTCGATTTAGCAAGCGGCGTTCTTTCAGCAATCTTGAAGTGAGAGCGTCTCGTAGGTGTCGGGACTTCGTCTCGTGAACTTCGTAAGTGGAGAGCAGAAGATTCATCTCTCCGCGACTTGTCGCACGCGCGCTAATTAGACCGAATACCGCGCATGATGACCCCGGCTGAAACATCGTCGAAGGAAGCAATTGACTATTCGCAGATACGAAGGTTACTTTTTAGATAAAAAATTACGATATAATAATATTTAGTTTTTGTTACAAAGCATTTATTATGTTCTTTTTTTTTACATTCGGTTCTTGAACGCTTCCATAATTCAAAAATTTTAAGTCGTTAAATCGTTTATTTGCCGGATTATACAAATACTATAAATCATCGTTATTACCGCCTTCGACCTTATGTGCGGGGATAAGCTATTCGACGGATTGCTAAATAATTTAACACATCCAAACTGTATTATTATATATAATTTGTATCATATTTTGTAATTAATCATCGACACGCATCACGGCGTTCAACATGTTAATTGTCGTTGTCAACGAGAGAACTACGCGCGTTCCGGCAAACTCTTCTCTTTTCATCGTCTTGTTCGGTGCGCGCGCGCTATTAAGTTATTATACTCGGTGACGCAACAACGAGCCTCCGCCAAGATAACGAGCAATGAAACGGAATCTGAATTACGAGAACTCCCGACATTATAAATTATTGATTATGCTATACGTTGCGCCATTCGCAGTTTAGGGCGAACAAGCGAGCGCGCGCGCCCGTTTGTTGCGCTTACGCGAGAAGCGTAAAATCGCCGACGCGTTCGTTCGCGGGGAAAGAATTAAGGATCGCGGTAGTAATCGCGCGCGCGAGCAAGCAGAAATATTCTCTCTACTTTATAACTCTCTTGCATCTTGTGCGTGTAACATACCTGAAAGAGAGAAAAAAAATACTAAACTCTTTACCTCCGTGTTTACGTTCCCTTTCATGCTTTCCTTAACTTTCATTTCTTCCTCGCGCGTTGAATTAATCACTCCTTCGTAGACAATTAATGGTCCGAGAGTTTCATCCTAACACGAGGATGCCTGAAATATTATAATTTTGCAATTTTTATTGTAAGGTGATAATTTTAATAAAATTACATATCACATATAAAATACATTCGATATGTCAAGAGATACTCTCGGTCTCCGCAATTTTCACGCGATCGTATGCGTCGCTCGTGACGCTATTCTGATATAACGACAGATATTGACGTCGGGATGTGTTTGTATCTTCCGTCAATTTACTTATCTAGTTCCTAGTTACTTATCTAGTTCCACACAACTCGTCTGAAGTTGCACGTGCGACGAATAAGCGAGCGAATATTTTCGATCGCACGTCCCTTGCTTACTGATAGACTTCATAGACTTACTTTTCGGAGAAAGGACTTTGAATGGGAGTGACGTGAAGATTTTTGAAACTGTGCTTGATTCACTTGTGAAACCAAAGAAGCTCATAGTGCATTCGTAATGCCCTATAATCGTTGGCTTTCTCGTATCATCAATTCGTAACACAATTTTATTAATCTTATTCGTATAATATACAAATATATACGCGTGTGTTACGTAATTTCGGAAAATAATAATAAGGCAAAAAATGTTTTAGAACTGTTTATTTTGTCAACGTGTTTGATCAAATATTTTATATTTTCTGCGTATCTCTTCAAGTTTCTTTCTCTCTTTCTCTCTGTTTCTATCGTCGCATTGCTCATTGCGACTTTATGTATCAATAACTTAAAAGAACCTGTATGACTCTTGCTGATCGCTTCTCTATCATAGCTGGGTGACATCAAGGCCAAGCCGTACAAGTCTGCGTGAGATTTCTCGCAATGAGAGCGCCGAGAGAGCGAGAGAACGTTCGTCCGTCTTTTGAGATAAACGGCGGCAGAAAAAAAGGACCGTCTCTTTAATGGCCCGACCAGGGTCAACCGCGGAACAGGGCATCCAGTTGCCGATTCTTCGGTATGGTCCTTCGATCCCCACTTTTTGAAACGATTCCACGCGGCTCCCACGATGTACATACATATCTGTCTCTCTGTATATCCCCCCCGGGTCTCGACATCCCCCTTCGCGCATCTTACCTCCCACGTTCCCCGGGAGACTCACCTGGCCGGTAGCATCCTTTTGCACTCAACTCGACGTGGACTTTCTCCGAAAGACTGCCAACTATATAAGCGAGATGCACGCTGTTTGAAGCACGTTAGACGAAATCGCACAGGTGCGTCGAGCAGGCCACGAGCGAGCCGCCGTGTCTGTTTCTTTTATTTTTGTTCGTTTATATCTTTGTACAGTATATTGTGACGAGAGAGAAAAGCGTCTGTTCGGTCGAGCGCGAGAAAACGCAAAGAGGACGGAGATTCCTGTATGTGACTCGGCGTCGAGAAACTCCGAAACAGCTTCAACGAGAGTTCGATCGCCAGGGATCATGAGGCCCGCGAGAAGTTGGGCCTCTCTGGCAGCGCTAGCCGCGACGGCCTTGCTGCTGAGGCCCATCCACGCCGAGGGTAAGCGAAGACTCGCGGGTCTGTTGAATGCTCGACATGTATCCCTTAAGTTTCGCAAAAAAAAACTGATTTTCAGAATATCTTTATTTTTTGTATTGGAATCAAAAAAGTACGCACGGAACGAAAAGGTGTTGTGAAATTAATCCTACGTATCGTGAGAAAAGAGAAGTTAAAGCAAACGTGTCGCTATCAACATCAATTTTACGGATAATGCGCGCATTACGCGAATACGCTCGTCACGTAACATTTTGGCGCAACTTAATTAGTGCTCTAGTTTGTAGCAACAACATGTTGAAAAGAACTTGTTAGAAAGTTAAGTTCGATATGTAATTAGTCCTCGCGATATATTTTATCTTCTGGATAATATCTCAGAAATAGAGTTATGTAGAACGATCTTAATTTTTGCTATAAAATATCTCACATAAAAAAAAATGAGATTATTAAATTGAGTGAGAAATAATAAAATGTTTGCATCGCTTTCAATGTCTTTCAAGCGCGTGAACACACACACAATGTTCTTATTAATTTTCTTATTAGAGATATTTGTTCTCATTCACAGAAGTCACATAAGTCTCGAGATAGAAGATCATTGATAAGGCTCAAGCATTTCTGTTACTGTACCACTTTAAACCGTTTCACCGGCACGCTTAAGTACTTGTAGAAAAAAAAATACAGATAATTGGCATTCTCACTATTCAAGATGTTTTTTTTATATCGCGCAGACCGATTACTATTATAAGCGTTTTTCTCATCAAAGCCTCTAATTGCTTGAGCGACGTGTGTACGACGGTTTTTTTTTTTTTTTTTTTTTTTGTAGCGTGAATCTTGGAAGTAGTGCAGGCAAATTTGTGAAATCGGAACGCACGAAAAAGTAGAAACCGTGAGCGCGCGCCAGGCCTGAAATAATCGAGCGTTAGGACGCCCTCCCGAGTTATCGGTCGGCATCTCCGAGCAAATTGCGCATAGCGTGTAGAATTGTTGTATAAATCAGAGAACATTATCACTCATGATCTCGCGTAATCTCGAGCGTGAGTTCAAACCGAAACTTCAAAGCGAACCGAACACGCTTAAGTTCTCCACGATCGCGTCTAAATCTCTTTAACGTGCACAATGCCACGGCACAATACACATGTACGCAAACGTGAGAACTATTATTCGAGTCGCGTATGCGTTACAAATTGTGACAGATTTTGTGCTGCTATAAAAAGCAATCGTTTAATTGGAGAACGTGTCTCGCTAAAACGTTTAAATTCAGTGTCCAACGATTGTGATAAAATCTCGCTTTTTTATATTTACATCATTTTTCTTTTTACTTTATTCCGTGGTCCATTGTCATACTTTTCACTGAATTTGAAATTATATATTTTATTTTCTTTTTTTTTAAATGACATATCGCGTGGAACAGACCAACAAGTTATTTTCATTTGTTGAAATTTTGCAGTATTTTGTTATATCGGTTCGATTATTCATTTTTTTTTTTTTAAATCGAAGCAAAAGCTTCCACGATATTCCGACGATTTTCATGCAAGATTGAATACGGAATATTACGTCTCCGTATGTATAATAGAAATGACGGAGAATACGAAGCGAATTACTAATAGAAAATTATTAATTGATACGCTCAGTCCTCCCGTCACTCGTCCTTAGTCAGTGATTGTCACTTGCCGTGACCTCGGTCGTAAATGATATCGGCGACGAATCGTGTGTGCTTCTTCGATTCTCGCGCGTCGCGGCAGAGCGTCACGCTCGCGCGATAAATCAATCGGACGCGAGCCGGCGATCGCGCGCGTTCCGGCGCATCAACCGAGCGAAAGAAAGCGAGCGTGACTCAATCGGCGTTAATGCGCGTAAAAAATTCGATGCACGCGATTATTGTGAAAATCGCGTTGGCGTTCCTGACGACAAGGTAATAATCGCTCTTTTATAGCGAGAAACGATGAGTACGGCGCTGATGATCGCTGACGGATAAGTGACAGTCACAAGTTTCGCGATAAGAAATCACGTCACGGTCTGATTACACGGGTCTTCTGTGGACGCCGCCGCGCCGCCGCACACTGGGTCGCTTCGGAATAATTCTCCGACGCGAGCTACAACTTTCCGACTTACTCGCGCGAGGGCTTTCCTTTCGCTTGAGAAACGTACATTTCGTATACGCGTTGTTAAATTGAACAATTGACTGTGATATTGACAAATTAAGAACTGTGTATTTTGACGAATTTAATTTTTTTTTTCTCTTTTTTTCTGCGCCGTTATTTCGATACGACTTACGAATATGAGATATACGGTGACAGTTTTCGTAGCATATCGAATTAAGGTAAATGACATGGTGAAACTTTCGACCTGTAAATTTATAGACAGATAGAAATGTCTATAAATTTCATGATAGACAGATAGAAATGTCCATAAATTTCTATTAGGAGAGAAAATGAAATTTACATCCGTTTCTTCTTCGTACTTCGCTCGTGCTCACTTCAGTCATGATTATTAGGAAGTAGCGCAAATGCTACTGTGGAAGTATACTGTATATACTTACTGAAATATATACTCCGCTATCTTGACGCTAATAATGTTACCGCAAAAACAATAAGCGTTTATTCATTAATAATCGTTTCACTGAGACATCGTAAATTGAACATAATGAAGTCATTAACAATGCAAGAAAGTAAAAGTTACTGGAAAAAAAATCTATATTTGCACTTTTTTGCAGCTAAAAATTTTATGTATAGGCTATCTCATTATATATTCAAAAATATTATTTCTAGCGCCACTTTCGGGCAGCTACTTGCCACCGTCCACTAGTTACGGTACACCTAACTTAGGAGGAGGTGGTGGTGGTGGTTATTCCGGCGGTAGTAGCGGCGGAATATCATCGAGTTACGGCGCGCCTAGTGGTGGCGGCGGCGGTGGATTCGGAGGAGGTGGTGGATTCGGAGGCGGCGGTGGATTCGGAGGTGGTCGACCTTCTTCGAGTTACGGAGCACCCACTTCCGGTGGAGGTGGTGGCGGATATTCCAGCGGAGGTGGTGCCCCATCTTCCAACTACGGAGCGCCCCCGTCTACAAGTTACGGAGCTCCCAGCTCCGGTGGTGGTGGCGGTGGCGGTGGTTTCGGAGGTGGTTTCGGCGGTGGAGCGCCTTCCAGCAGCTATGGAGCGCCTAGCCCTCCATCTTCGAGTTACGGTGCCCCGTCTCGGCCTCCCTCGAGCAGCTACGGAACGCCGTCCGTAGGACGTCCATCCTCTAGTTACGGAGCACCGTCTAGCGGTGGCGGTGGATTCGGCGGCGGTGGTGGCGGCGGCGGCGGTGGTTTCGGCGGTGGTAGACCGTCCTCGAGCTATGGAGCACCCTCGAACGGAGGTGGCAGACCTTCGTCTACCTATGGTGCTCCTTCTAGCGGTGGCGGTGGTGCGCCCTCGACGAGTTATGGAGCACCGCGCGGCAACGGCGGCGGTGGCGGCGGAGGCAGACCGTCAACCAGCTATGGAGCACCTCCTTCTACGAGTTACGGAGCGCCTCCTTCTTCAAGTTACGGAGCGCCTCCTTCTTCAAGTTACGGAGCGCCTCCTTCTTCAAGTTACGGAGCGCCTCCTTCTTCAAGTTACGGGGCACCTCCTTCTACAAGTTACGGGGCACCGTCTGGCGGCGGTGGCAGTTTCGGAGGTGGTGGCAGTTTCGGAGGCGGTGGCGGTTTCGGAGGCGGAGGTGGTTTCGGAGGCGGTGGCGGCTTTGGCGGTGGAGCTCCTTCCAGTAGCTATGGTGCACCTCCGTCTTCTAGCTACGGTGCACCTCCGTCTTCTAGCTACGGTGCACCGACTTCGGGAGGTAGCGGCGGATATTCCGGCGGCGGTGGAAGACCGTCGACATCCTACGGTGCGCCAACTGGAGGCGGGTAAGGCCGAAGAATCTTAATAGCTATTTATAATTATAACAATTAGAATCTCTTCTTCATGATCTCTCTTTGTTGTTCTCAGATCCGGTGGTTATTCCGGTGGAGGTGGTGGCGGAGGTGGTGGACCATCGTCGACCTACGGTGCGCCAAGCTTCGGCGGCGGCGGTGGCGGCGGCGGCGGCGGCGGCGGCGGAGGTGGACAGAGTTACGCCAGCAATGGAGGATATCAGTACTAATTCAGACACGTGTTCATTCAGCGACACGTTTTTCGTGCTCAATCGCGTCGATTTCCATTAGATTTTTCAAATTGGTATGCACCAAGATACATTCAATTGATCAACTATGCGTTGTCAGGAAAATTGCATCAATCATATTATCCTACAAAAGTTAGCTTTGATCGAAAAATAACCTCGATCAATGCTCTAGATATATTCTCATAATCACTGATGCACACTGTTGATAATCATGAATGTTAAAAAGACATCTCGTTACAGCAATTGTCCTTAATAAGATAATGCGTGCAGACAATTTCGCAGATGTATATTTATGAAGACAGTCTCGAGACGAGTTATAGAAACATTTCCATGTAAAGGTTGACGGATAAAGCGCACGAAAATCGTTCGCCACATCGTAAATCTACGAAATTCGTACTAAGGATTGTAACAGAAGCAAATTCTCGATTAAAATCCCGCGAACAAAGAAGTACGCGTGAAGGCAGACCGCAAAAGATCAAAAAAATTTTTTTATTTTTTTTTAATGCTATATTATTACTTACGCATGCCTTGAGAAAAGCGTCGAGTCCTCCATCACCTAATATCAAAAGAAGTAAAGAAGAGAAGTCACAAAAAAGGAAATGAGAGATGAAGAAACACGATTTTTTCCACATATACGTACACACATTTGGAGCCTGTAACTTATTTATTTTGTAAAGACGCTTTTTATACTAATATAATAAAACCGCTGTACGCTGATAAGGAAAACATGTAAATGTCTTTGACTCTGTCCTTATCCTTGCGCATTCAAATTTCGAGACAGGAAAAAAAAGATTTTTTTCTTCTAAATCTACTTAAAAAATGTCGGTTTTTACGATATACTAGTTAATCAATTAATTTTTCAAAAATATAATTTCTACTGAAAGCACATCGCACTTGGAGAAGAGCTCGACTTCCCAACACCTGAACAAAAGTGACGAGACGGAGGAGCTCCGGCATAAGGTTAGTCGGCCGACACAGACGGACGGTCGATTTATCGATTCTCACGGCTCGGATACCGGGAAAGCATGAATAACTAAGAGCTCTTCTTTCTATTCTTGCCGACTAGTGTCTAAAAGCGCGTATCGATATTGAGACTTCCTCAATACGAGAAGAAACTGTGTCCTTCGACTACGTTGTCGAGTTGCGCAATCAAAAACTGCGTACGGGATTTATCACAAACCACGTCTCCGCACACATGAAATATTAATGTTGAAATCACCAGAGTTTGTGTGCCTGGATGTGGCCATAAATATTAGTAGTCAGTTCCGCTTTCGTTCGTTCGTGTCTCGTTATTCCCGGAGATAAAATAAGTTAGTTTTCGCTTTGCCATCAAAAACGTAATTTACGAATTGCCATTTACGCCACAACTTTGTGAACAAAGTGTCTTGTTTTTTCTCCAAATTTCAAATTTGTAATTCTAAGCAAACCTCTATTTTTTCTTATCTTACCTGCATAAGACTCTCTGTTCAAAGGCTTTTCTTACCCTTCTCACGTTATTTTCTTAAAATATCCACATTGTATGTCGGTTTTCTGCGAGAACATCGGCGTATGCAAAAAAAAAAAAAAAAAAAAAACAAGAAAGGAAAAAATCACTCTGTCACATTTTTGTACACCGTTTATTTGTAACATTTACAGTCAACATCTCTTTCGTTTTATCAATTATACACGTATAATGTCATATAATACAGTAACGCTTTTTTTCTGCAATATACATGGATATGTTCTTCCGGGCAGGATAAAGGGAGAGGAAATGAGAGTTACGGGGGATGTTTATTTTTATATATACATAATTGATAAATATATACTCTTTTCTACGTTAGGGTAGTTACTCCGTGCGTTTTTTTTTTTTTTTTTTGGTTGCGTACATCTTACGTCATATTTCGGTCTCCAAGCAGAAATGATCGACAATTTCGTTTGGTTGGAGATTGTTTTCACTAATTCTTATCGATCCGCTTATATTTTTGTTATTTGTTTTGTTCTTTACTTTCTTTGCGCGATATAAATTGTAAAGTATATTGGCTATCGAGATTCGCGTAACTTTTTTTTTGCGGCAAAATAACGTCGCTCAAGAGGAATAAAATTTCCGAGCACGCAGATCGTACGTTCGTACGATCGTACTCGGAAATTTTAATTCGTAATCGTACGGATTAATCCCACTTTATTTCGGGTCAGAAGACAATTTTATGGCGCGCCAAAAATAATAAAACTTGAAATTTAAATGAAATAATTTAGAGCTCATATCGTTGTACGTCTCGATATGCGATATCAATTTTCCAAAATTTTTCATTTATACTGCGTACTTGAAGATCGAAGAAAAAAAGCACTCGCGGTTAATAAGAGCACGAATGTTCTTCCTTTTGCCTTGATTTAGAAGAGCGACGCGTTTACACATACGCGTTTTCGCGGAATATATATGTCATAGTATACATACATATCACGAATATTATATATATATACATATACATATATATAATATGTATATATATATATTTCGTAGTCTTATATTATTTGTTTAATACGCGCCTTAAACTAATCACCTAATATACACTAGAGCACACTTTATGAAATGTATAAGTTTCTCGTTGCGTTCGCCGCAATTATACGACGTACGTCGATTGATATGTAAATGATATGTGGCCGTCCTATGAGAATAACCTCATAAGATATAATATCTATTACTTTCTTCGGCGTGCTTTACCACACACACGCGACTCCCACTCTTTTCTTGAATTTATATATATAAAAAAATTGAGGTGGCAATTGTCTCTAATATTCAACGCGATACTTTCAACCGTACTTAAATGTTCTCCTATTCTCGGAGATCTGTGCACGCAGTTTGCTGCTGCACCGCGCGATACTTTCGAGCTTCTCGGCAGGAATAATAATAAGGATAATACTTCTCTTCTCGCTCGTATTCCACGAGAGTCTCGGATTACTCGGCCGGCTACCCGCTCGTCATCGTCTCTAATATCCGAGTGAAAGTTTCTAAGTTTAATGACGAATGGAAATGCACGGGAAGATGTCCGTGGCACACAAGTTCTTCAACTAGTTTTAAAGTATATCCCTTTCTCACTCCGCGCGCGGCTTCGGATCTCCTCGACGCGAATGATCCTGCGTTCTTGTCTCGTAAATGAGTGTCGTTTTCGCGCTCGTGATTTCACGTGCTACAAGTGCTTCGGACTGGCTTTAACGAGCGGGTAATACGACGGCACGCGTTTAATCAGGAAACAGCGAGTTCCGGAAAATTGCGCATGCGAGTCGCAATACTTCGTGAAATAATTCTTACGGAAGAGACCGCTCGTGGACGACGGCACCGCAATCAACACGATATTTAAAACTAGAAAACAAAGTGCTAAACATATTTGAAAGAATATCGTTCGCTATTTTTTTCCTTTTAATCGTAGAAAAGTTTTACAAAATAGAACAAATATTAATGTATTCACTAACCAAAACCATAAATAATTGTAAAAATGAGAAAACAATATGTATATTTTTTAAATATCATTTTGTCAGGGACTTCCATGTATAAATTGCAGCATTTTGCTGAAGTACAAGAAAGTCCTTTCTCTCTAAATCTTAATTCTCAATATGTAGATTAAAAATTTTATTTCTCTTCTTTTTTTCTTAAATGATCATATAACTTTCGTTCTTTTTATTAATGTTGATATTAAAATTCTGATATCTCAAACATATATATATATATATATTTATATATAAGACTTCAATATCATTTTATGTCTATTATCTTTGTCTATACGTAGACAAATTAACAATCTTGCACATTTAAAAATTCAACAAAGGCAGATTTTTTTTTTTTTAGGTGACTTTGTGAACGATTTATCGCGAGCGAAAATTCCGGATCCTAACGAATAAAAAAACGCTTTCATAAATTAGAAAAATATACTCGACTTACACACGCACACATTGCTCTATGTATAGTAATACTTTGTCTGGAAAAATTGTGACTAGACGCGGTTAGTCGATTGCACATACACTGTGAGACTATCGGTTATTATTCGCGCAACGATGTACGGAAACGATAAGATCTCTCAACTTAATCATGTTGCTTGCGCAGAGAATTACGAAGTCAGACATTTATCACACTTTATGGGGTGAATAGGAACTAAGTACAAAACTACTCTACAAATTATCTAGAGTATCCCCATCTTGTCGATGCACGCGACGTCTCGTTTTGAGATTCGAGATTCGAGTGATAAGATGCCGATGTCAGTCTCTCAAAACGCGACGCTCTCATCTTGCAATAATAAATAATGATACATGAGCAATCAAAACTAACGAGCGTAACAATATATATATATATGTATATATTTTTCCTAGGCATTTCATGCTTAGCATCTTCGAGATCGGCGTTATGTCATATATATATATATATATGTATACATATATATATAAACATAACGAACATTCAAAATTAACAATGATGGCGATAACTCGTACCTGCGATATTAACACCTATGAATTTAGTCTTTTCGTGTATGCATAACATGTACTTATATAATATATATAATATAATTTATAGAGAAACAGAGAGAGAGTGATGTCTCTAAAACTTTCCTTCTTTCCTCATTATTCCCTAAGTCACCCATCTCTCTTTCTCGCCGTACTGCACTTTACTGCTCATAAATTATATATATCATACATCTATTTTTTTATATACTATATGATAAACACAACGGACTTGTGCTACGAACGATCTGTCTGATGATATTTCGCAACTCACGCGATGAGAGAAAAAGGCAAGGGAGGTTGTAATTGAAGATAATGATGAGTCGAATGTGAAAGGAAAAATGGTGTTACGAAAGGAAAATAAACATTATTGTTTAAACGTATTTTTATGCGTGTAAACAATTTTTAAATAGCTTGAAAATAATTAGGTATGTGTGAATTCTCGGCAAAATAAATTCCTCATAATTTTGTCGTGATCGAAGTCGCATTAAAATACATTTTAAACGTCTGGATTTACTTGCGCAATTCTTTAAAATCTCAGAGTAAACAACAAAAAATTAAGAGATCGCGGTTTTACGCATGAGTCGCAAAGAGCAATTTTTTTGAACTTCCACAATAAAGAATCATCCTCCAGTTCTAACGACGCATCTACATACGTGTTTACGTTACGCTAGTAAGTATAAATTAGTACGTGTTTTACATGTGTATGTACGTATATATGTGTGTGCGCGCGCGCGTCGTATGTGTGCGTGTCAATTGTACATGTGTTCCTTCAACGTTGGACTGAGCAAAGCGAGGGAAGAACGATCGATCGCAAATACAAAAGCTTCGTTTTACCTCTTCACCTAACACCGATATGGACATCCAACGTTACGACGCACGGCAACTAATTATAGCACTAACTAATCGTAGTAAGAGTTGCGAAAGAGGAGGATGATATGCTGATTTTTCTTTTAACGTTGCTTTAAAAAAGCGCTCGATCGATCGACATTCATCGGTATCAGCATGACGCGATATTAAACAGTGTTTCAAACTCGAAAAAGGTGTGTGTGTGTGTGTGTGTGCGTGTGTGTGTGATGTCAGAAAAATATTAAAACGCTTTAACATATATAGGTTTTGTACATATATATCTAAAGCAAAGAAAATATTAATATTTCAATATTTGTTTATTGTTTTATGTATTATAGTGGATTCTCGTGACACGTCTCATTTTCAAAGTGATACGTCCACGCCGCACAAATAAACTCCCGATCGATCGAGTTTTAATAAGAACCTCCGCGATACCTTTGAGATTTTCTCTGATCAGGCAGACCATTCGTATTTCGAGATACTCTTAAGCAGCTTTTTTTGTTAAACTCTAAATATATATAATATCTTTGTATATGTTAATTGTATATTAATATATATATATATACCTATTTTATATATATATATATATATATATATATATATATATAGTTCTCCAAAAAAAACAAGGAAAAATCACTAGGCCTAATTGGCGGTGCGGGACAGGGACGCCCGATCCAGGTACGTCCGAAGCTCCGACTTCCGGTTTGGAAACACTACGCTTATCCCCTTGTTTCTCGCATAACCGTGTACTTTTCGGTCTCTCTCTTCGTTTTTTTTCTCTGAGTTTTTTCTCCCCTCAGTCTCTCAGTACTTATAGCTACTCTTCCCTTCCGAACAGCAACAGAACACGAACACGAGCGAGCGCGGGCAGGTACAGATCGTTACACGGGCACCAATAGCGTGCAACACACGCGCGCACATGCAGACACGCAACACGCATCTCATATTCTCATATATTGATACACACTCACATACACACACGTGCGCAAATACATAAGAAACTTCGTGTAACTTACCACAAACCATCGCATTGTTGGGTCGTCTCGGAGCTTCGTGGACGTAGGACGGGTAGGAAAAAAAAAAGAACACTGAAGATTCGCGTAATCAATTGGAGAAGTCGGAAAATCGATCGATACGAGAACATTCTTGAGATAAATAATTCGTGCCGATATATCGATCACGATATTCGCGATAATCACGGAAACATGTTACTGATAAAAGCAATTAATATACATATATACATGACAATGCATTAATAAATTAGAGATGCAAATCAATACGACGTATCGAAAATTCTATTGTTAACTTTTAATTACAATTTTTCTTATCAGTTTAATCACTAAACATCTTTAACAAATAGTCTGTAATAAATAACGTTAAATGTAATAATATTTGAAAGTAAAACATGCGAACTAAAGTTTGTTGATAGCGACAATTCACTGATAAAATTGAACATAATTTCCGAACGTATGAATTTATTAAACATTTGTCTCAAACTCTCAAGTTAATAGTCAACCTCTAAAATATCGCAGCAGAAGGATAAAACGACTAGAAAAGAGAAGGGGAGCAGAGAAGGAGACGAGGGAGGAAGAGAAACGAAAGACAGAGACCCACACCGCCGCACTTATTGTTGGTCACAGCATCCGATCACGGAACCAGGAGTTAAAACGCGGTGCTGGATTGCGGTTGTCGGGGTGCGACGCCGGGCACGTGAGAGGGTACCATGTGACCCCCGGTGCCACCGCCGCCACCACCGCCACCAACGACGGCACTTCCGCCACCGACAACGCCGTCCGGCGCACCTCCGACCATCGTACATCCCGGCTCCATGTCGTAGTCCGGCTCGAGTGCAGGATTCACTCGGCCGTTCGATTCGTCCTTGCTGCCGTAGAGCCTACCGACACCTGCAGCCAGGACCGCCATCTGTTCACCCTCGGCTGGATCCGGACCGACTCGCTCTACGTCCTCCGGTATGTTCACCACGCATCTGAAGACGTCGTAACCCGGCGCTAACCGACCGGTGAGGAAAGCGAACTGAGTGCCGTACGACACGCCCACCAGAGTAATCAGCGACATCAGCATCGCCAGCGTTCTGAACGGGAACATTTGCATGGAGGTCTCCTCGATATAACCCGGATAGTGTATCAGCGCGGGGAGACCCATCATCGGTTCGCCGCCGCTAATGCGCACCAGGAAGGCGATTATGTACGCCGAGAGGCTACCGTAGGTGTTGCAATAATCCTTGAAGTGAACTACCATTAACAGCTGCGGGAACAGGATCACGTAGACCAGATCCGAGCACATCGACCAGAGACCGTAAATCGATGGTATCGTAAGGGCCATCACGGTGCTCAGCACGCCGACCACGCCGATTCCCGCGCGCATTATCCAGATAATTTCCATCTCCGACGCCTGCACAAGCGGAGGGAAGATCGTGCACTCGTATGGGTCAGTATTGTCGTCAAGAGAGAGAGAGAGAGAGAGTTTGTTTAATAAACTCGAGAATAATGGCGCGAGAAGAATGTTACAACAATCGTTTGTAGTCGTAAAATTGGATACACACGGCCGCGTAGTGTATTCGAAAATAAAAGCTGATGTAACTAAGGTGACACACAATTAATTAGGTACCTGGCAAGACGCGGCACTCGCGACACTCAATTTGCATATATGCATATGTAAACCGGAACTGCATTATATGCAGCCACGTGTCTCTTGATGCAAAAATAGCACAAAGGAAACATATTTTTATAATGATAAAAGTATTCTGACTCGAATCGGCATAATTTATTAAAAAAAGTGACACAAATGGAGAAAAATGTTAAAAAAATAAAAATATAAAATACAAAACAATGTGCGAGGAGACGAAGGTTTAATCTAACTTTCATCATGATAAAACTCGATGAGAAGCTTGTTACAGACTTCCGTTACAAAGAGAGACCCGTTAGAAATATGCTTCGACACGTGCAACACTTTTGTAAAGAAATATTTCGTCGCGCGTATAAATGCATAAGCATAAATAAAGCGAAATGAAACACAAAAACGAGATATTTTCTTCAGACACTCACCCGCTGACGGAAGATCAATTTGTAAACGTTTCTAGCAAACATCGAACTAGCAGAGAGGATGCTGCTGTCCGCAGAAGACATCACCGCCGCTGACACAGCTCCCAGCCCGAAGAAGGAAACAAAATCCGGTGTCAGATATTGCAGAACCAACGGCAAAATCATGCTGGTCTCCGTCTCCGTGAAAGGATAAGGGCCGGTGTATCCCGTCTCGTTCCAAGCTGTAACACAAATTGCATTTCTGACGATGATTCGAACGTGCATATAAATTAAATTACATTTCGTGACTATACTTGATACGTATATAATTAGAAAATACCGTAGAATTCTCTCAAGGCAAAACACGTACACGCAATCGCTTCCGTCAATTCAATTTCGACACATATGCACGTCTTCAACCCACGTGCGCTCTTCGTACGCCCATTCATATCACCGTCATCATAATTCAGTTCATTCGTTTTCTCGAATTATTCCGCAACATGCTATAGCTACCGCTCGTTAGCTAATATAGTTAGAGTAATATATGTTCTATATACTCGCACTAAAGAGAGTGACGCTTTTTACGCTTGTCGCTATCATTTAGATTTATATCATCGCTCGTTCTTCACTTATCTACTTTTCTTTGTTCAGTCTGTCACGCCCACTATCACATTAAGATGATTTGATTAATTTTTTTTCTTTTTTCTTCTTTTCGATATCCTCCCGCAACATACCGATGCGGGAGATACCAAATTAGTTCTGACGATGACGTAGCCGCGCGTTTACGTTTACAGCGGACGAATCGCATTACGACCCTCGCAAAGGCACACATGGTGCGGTCCCACGCTATTGTACACGCCGCGAGGAACCCGGGACACCCTTCGATCATCCGCGCCCTTCGCGAACACTATCCCCTTACTCTCCGCCCTTCGTCCCCCTCGTCAGTGCTCGCGTCGCTTGTAAATACCAGCAGAGTTCCTCTCTTTGTCGCGCCACCAAATGTCAAGTAGCCTTCAAAGGTTGGAAGGAGCGTGGGACGACGAGTAACTCGAGTTCTAATTCGATCTCCTTGAGAGGAGCGCCGAGCTTGCAGTGAGTTGTTGCAATCTCGAGCGAAACGAGAGTGATCAAAGATAAAAGAAAAAACCAGAACGTGAAAAAAATATCTTCTCTCGTTATTAATGTGACCGAACTGGAATCTTTTTTCACCAATAGATCCAGATTCATTTTGAGGATAATATTTCGAGAAAATGAGAAACCGTCGTATTATAAAACCAATACATTCGCGCGTTTCACTCGAATATTGAAATAGATGCTCTATATTTGAGTATACACATGCATGTTTTATTCTAATAAAAATTAAATGTCAGTCATAGTTATAAAATTTTAAATTAAAAAAAAAATAATCGCACTTACATAAAACTACAAATAATTTTAATAAACAAATGTGAAATGAGTAACACAGACAATTTTCTGCGATATCTTACGTGATAAATCAGCGGGCAATCATCTGCCTTTAATTAATTAATGATTAAATGTGTGGTACTCACGAGTTGCTTTAGCAATTGCTCCAATTAGAACAGGGGGAATGGCCATGAGGATACAGCCCAAGGCGGCGACGTAACTCAATATTTGAGCTCTCCCGGCAGTTTTGGAGGAGAGGACACGTTGGAAGTACACTTGCCACGGTATACCGCCAAATATCAAAAGTAAACCGTAATCCAAATAATACCAAAACTCTTCGGGCTGCACCTTGCCGATCCAATCAACATCCATAGAACCGAGAGACGCCACCTTCGGATTGGTCCAAGCGAACGGAATACACATCCACTGTGAATAGAAAATAATAATCTTTGCCTTTTCACGAGACGTATACGCACATTGTACGCAGATAAATTAGGATTGTCACAATATCAAATACATATTTTTTCAGATACTTTAACAATAATTTAAATGGCAAAAGTGAAGGAGTCGACACTGGCATCTACAGATAACACTGTTCAGATGCTTTTTCCAGATAGCAGATTTATTTCGAGTACGCGATTATCTTTGAACGATCTGACTTTATCGCGATTAATCATAGTTAATGGACGCTAGTCTCGTTATACAGAGAGCGAGTTTGCATTCAGAACAATAAGCGAAGGGGTTGAGACCGTCCGTAGAGGTTGAAACGCGAAACCATCGTAAATGTAAGATCAATTCCAACTAGTTAATTAAAAGTGCAGTGTAATTAGAGAGTAAATCTACGTGTTTATGTATTAACGCGTGTTATCTAGTTATATTTTATGTGTTGAAAACCCTCCTTCTGTTTCTCGATCAACTCTCTAATAAATGTAATAACAAAAACTCTTGAATATAGTATAGTTAAATACTAACATCACACTTCAAAAGAAAGAAAAAAATTGTTTTAAAAGGATAATAAGACAATTTTGCATATGAGATTCTAAACTTCGCCGTTGTGTATCTGTTTGATGGAATCTCTTGTAGAAATAATTGCTCGATAGCGTTCTTCCGGGAAGTGGGTCACCACCTTGTACGTCACCGAATATAAATTTGGTAATACAAACACCGAAGCGGAGCCGCGATATCGATTAGCTCCGACATTTTGCACTGTAGACCGACCATTCGACCGAGCATTGCACGAGAGAAACCGACAGCAATTTATTTATCGGAAACTTTGCAGTTACTAAGTAACTAAAAAAAAAGATCATCGAGATCAAGCTTCAACAGTTTAGCATACAATTTCTTATTTTACGTTTAATTTCAATTATAGATCAAATTGACAACAACTGTAATTATTATAAATACACATAATTGTCTGAAATGAAATTTTTTGTAAGTTTCGCACAATATAACGAAGTGCTTACCAGACCGATGAAAATACAGAAGAGCTGAATAACGTCGGTGTAAGCGACGGAGTAGAGACCGCCGAAGAGGGTGTAGAAAACCGCGATGCAGGCGCTTAGAATAACAGAGGTGCCCTGATCCATATCGATGATGACCGCCAGCGTGGCGCCGAGGGCCGCGAGGATGCCCGCTGCCCAGAAGACCTCACCGCACAGAGCGGGCAAAAATAGAAGACCGCCCATGCGCTCCCCGAACGCATCTTGAAGCGGATCCAACATTGTAACATACCCCTGCTGTCGCATTTTGTTCGCGAAGAAAATACCACCTATACAGCAAAATTAAATAATCCAACGTTTTTCACGCTTTATAAATATTTCTCTCGCAACTGAAAAAAAAACGTCTCATTGCTTTAAATTATTTCGTAACTCTTTGAGATCCGCGTTTCTTAGCTTCTTGGATCGAAATTCACAAAATGTCAATATTGATTTTGTAATATGTCAAAGATTAAAACTTTTTCGAACTCGAAAACACATAATCAATTTCTATCAAGGTTTTCTTAAGGTTATACAACAATCATTCATAGAAACGTAGACACAGAGGAGTAACGCTGTCAATGGGCGGCTTATAGTCGCGTTTATATTCTCTGCCGAGGTCGTTCGGCGTGCGTGAGACGTTGATAACAAAGTTGCCATCTTTATTATGCGTAAGTGCTGATAGCGAACATTCAACGCGCGAAAGAGAGAGATTGTGTCTGTTTTAGATTTACGATATCTTATAGACATTGTGTCGAAAAAATCTCAAAGACTCGCGCGTTGCTGTAAGTAGAAGAACCAAACGATTGTAACGACGGACTTACCGAAAACGAGACTGAGGGCGTATCCGAAGGGCGCTTGGCACCATACTAGGCCCTTGGTGTAAATTGCCTCGGCGGTGCCATTGATGTAACCGCCACCGACCCAAGTCGCCGTCATCGTGAATATCCCGACGAAGAGCCCGATCGAGCGGCCGGCCAGCATGACCTCCTCCTCGGAGTCGTTGCCCGCCTCCTTCTTTCTGGCCGCCCATATTCCGACGCCCAGAATCAGCAGGTAGAACAGAACGATTGAGATCACTCCGGCGATGTTGATCATCTTCGGGGAGTAGATGTCGAGCTCGAGCTGACGGAGACGTAAGTCCGAGAGATTCGGCGGCTGATCCGCTTTCGGATCGTTCGGATATCTGAAGTGAATTTTTGGAAAAAAATCTTTTTCCAGATTTCACGGTGAGAAGAAAAAAACTTTTGCAATTTTGCAAAATATGATCGCGATATTATCGCAAGTCGCGTACGAAAAATCATACAATACATCACACTTCAGAAGAAATGTTATAACCACACAAAAGGAAACATTGAACATTGACTTTTAAAATAATACATTTCTTCCTCAAAAATATGTTAACTTCTCTATGTGTAATATGTATGTGTTAAAATACAGTTTTTCGGTCAGCTGTAATTATAGTTTTGATTCAAGTTTGGCGAAGTTATTTCCGTCTTCTCTTTATGAGCTGATACATTTTTTTTCAAGGCTCAAGATATATATATATAACGTGATTGTTAATAAATCACGGTAAAAAAAAATAAATATACACATTCTCTTTCTTTGTTTGCCGCTAATGTCATGGTGAATGCAAAAAAACCTCTTTGACGTGAGTTTTACAAAGAACTTATCAATTTCGCGCGGAGTATTAAAGTTTTCCGCTTGATTAACACCGTGGCAAACTTGCACCCAACAAGTGCAGCTAAGCACAAATATTATGTTTCTACTTGAAGGGCATTTAAATCGCTCAACTGAGCTTACCCTCTAATCCTATTAAGCGCAGTCTGCCCAAGGTGTCGTGTAACTTCAAAAAAACGCAGCTTCAATTAAATACGCACGTGTATCGATATATCACGACTGAGAAAATTGTTTTTCATTTTCCTCCTCTTTCCCCCCAAAAACTATCTAAAAAGTTTTTTTGTATAAAAAGTCACAGCTTATCAAATCGTGTACTTCTTTTTTACACACAAAGTAAATCTCATTCACGATCTCTTTTTCTCCATTATTTCAAAGAACAACCGAGACTTTCTAATGCTATTTACATATATTATAATTTCATTTAAAAAAACGTTTAATTGTATAGAGAAAGAGATGAATCAATGTACTTAAAAAAAAAGGGGTTCCAAAGGGGTTGAACGGAAAATGTACCTTTGAAATCCCCGCGAGAAACAATCACGCAACAGCGGGGGGCAGCCTCACACGGGCACCGGCGGCATGTCCTGATGACGATGCTTCCAAACGGCCGACGACGACGTTGGGTTGGGGTTTGGGGGGCAGCAGTCACCCCACCGGAGCGAGGTCTTCTGGGAGGGGCTATTCCTTGTCCTAAACGCGAGGCCGCCCATGGGCGCTGATGGCCATCGATTTTCACCCAACTCACCGAGTCCTCTGCTTCTCTGTCTGCCTAGTTTCTTCGTTTTCACTCTTTTGCCTGACTTTAGCGGGACCGATTGCAAGGATCAATGCGGTCCTTCACCTGGGAAACCGACAACTACTTCTTGCCAGAATACACAACACGAAAAGAAAAGAAAGGAGAAGAGAAGAAAAACGATTGTCGAGGATGAGAAAAAGAAGAGTAAGATCTCACAGAATTTACATCAAAAATTGATTAATCTCAAATTGATCGAAAAATTATAAAAAAGCGGGAGTGTTGACTTCTAAGCGAAAACTTCTTTACTCGCGCGCGCTTTTACATCTATAAATGTATATGAACATACACGTAGAGGTACTTAGACTGTCCGTAGACATCTATGTATTAATTATTTTAGCGTAGATAGGTGTGCTCTAAAATGTTGGCTATAATAATTTGATAGCAATCACGCGTAGATCAAAATATCGTCATTTTGCATGTTCGTACAATAAATTATGTATCAATCTTTGCGCATGTAGAATAAAATATAAATGACATGATAGACTAGCCTATGTTTACCTGTTTACTTCTATTGACGCGTTTTAAAATAATCTCGTAAGATCTTTCGCAGGATATTTGATTTCCGAAAGAACTATTTAAAAATCTTGTAACAAAATGTTACTTACAAGCACCTTTCTTGCGTTAGCTGATTTTGACAGAAGCAGCCGGTGACTACCTCATCGTAGATAGATGATACCAGGTTTTCAATACCGGTGTGTATGTGGGGTACTTAATGGCCAATAATACCGGCGACGAAGACGGGATTTTTATGATGTTTGATTTCACGTTGATAGAAAACAGCGGTCCCGGAAAAGACAAGTGATGAATCGCGTGACGAGTCGGGGGTCGATCTGGCCGGCGTGTCGTCTTCGTCCTCGTCCCTGTGATCGTGGCCGTGATCGTCACCGTCGTCGTCTTCGTCGTCGTCGTTGTCGTCGTCGTCGTCGGAACGACACTGGCGCTGCCGGAACGTGCCAGTCGCGGAGGCCACCTTGTACTGAGGCGGTCGACCGTCCGCCGTCTCGCGAGGACCGACGACGACGAACGGAGGGAGGGCACCGGTGGTGATATTGATTTGATCCCCGTGACGTCACAGTGTGGCTCGCGCGCGCGGGGGTGCGCAACCCTCGCGTTCCCCACCATCTTTTCCGAACGCGGAGACCTAGCCGCGCCGTCCACCCCCTTGCACCTCTTTCCGACTTTTCGTTCTATCGCGAACCCTCGACGCCACAGCTGTAGGCGAGCAAGCGGGAGGCGTGGACTACAACTGGTCTGGATGGTTGCCGCGAGTCTGCGCCCCCCGACTGCAATTCTCGCGACCGTAGATCGCGCAACCTTCCTCCGTTCTCCTCTCGCCCTTCACAAACGGTGAACGGATGAGCGGAAATTCGGTGGAGAGGAAGATTAGAGCAACGGGAGAGAGTCAGCCTCAGGAGATGAAGAGTCGGCGTTTAATGTCACTCTTTTTTGGGACACGTTATTTCTCAGCAAGCGCTATTCGCCTCAATTCGGGCGATCTGTTTCGTCGGTATCTATAATTAAGCGAAATGTATTCCAGTCAATGCTTTTATTAACATACTGAGCACATACAAGATATACAATTATGTACGTTTTTTCAGATGTCAATAATAAAAAAGTATTTAGAAAAATAGCACAAATTAGGAGAATTTACGTAACAAAAAGTTGTGTTAGTAGATATAAAGTTACTTTGGTTCGAGAATTTGCATGATTAACTACGTTTTTAGTATATTTAACGTTTTCTTTATATAGAGATATTTAGCATAATGTTATATTAGTTAATACATTTTTTCGCATAGAAACATAAAACATTTTTCTTCGTAATTGTCTATATGGAGATACACAACAATGGAATCTTATAAATTTTACAGATAATGTCATCAGAAAAATTCTTGCAAAACGAAAACCCGGATCTCAAGTTTGGGTGGCAAAAAGAATAGTATCAAAATCTACGGCTGACGTCTGCAGTAACATTTCGAATTCTCGTGGTACGCGAGTGTGTAGGTGGAAAAAGGGTCTCTGGGGTGGGTAAGTAAGTGGAGGTGGAGCAGAAGGTTTAGGAAGAGATATCGATAGATAGAAAGGCGCACGATATCGCCTTACCAGATCGATTACCGGTCACTCCAAAAAAAAAGTCACTGATTCACTAATGATTAACGAAGTGGACGAGAAGTTAATGTGTTTTTCATGGAACAACTGATTCGATCTTTTTTTCAAGAAGAACGACATTTTTGTTGGAAAGCGGAATAATAATCAGATTGAAAGCGATAAAATATTCATAGAAAGTGGATCTCCTATCGAATGTGTGGTAAAGTTCGAGCAGAATGAGATATGTGACGACATTTAATCATACGTGTGATGACGCAATTTCGAAATCGCAACCTTCATAAATCTTTTAGCAAGTATACACGCGCACATGTAAATTATGTAGGAAATAATAGTTTGCTCGTTGTATGATATAAACTGAAATTGCAAATTGTTTGGCAAATTTAATTTTACATTATGAAGGTTACACTGTCATTATATTTCCATGTTATAGAAATGTAATAACTGTTGGTAAAACATTACGAAAACTTATATATCTCACTGAATTTATCATTGAATAAGATGAATAAAATTCATTTGTTTTTGTTCTGTGCTTGTTACGATGTTATTATATTAAAAACAGATTTTACTTTAAAAATCTCATTTGTGCAAGCATTATCATACAATTTTGGTAGAGAAATATAGCAGTATTATCGATTTTCCACAAATTCATATTTGTATGTATTGCAAAAGTCTTATTTATAAATAACGTACATCTCAATTAATTTATAAGCCTACGGGATTGTTGATAAAGAGAAAAAGAGAAAGAGAGATTTCATGTATAAGTACCGGGAATAACGCGCAAGTATCACAACGTTAACAATGCTGACGTCAAAACTAAAGAGAACAAAGCGAGGAAAACCTATTAATGGTTGAGTAACGGTTTGTTGTAGGTCAACAGAAGAGCGCGGAGAAAATACATGTCGTCAATCTTTCGAATTGAAACTCAATGACAAATACAAATACAAATTGCAGGAATAATCTAGATGCCGAAGAAATTAGCTTGCGGAATGGTAATTTTTCTGCGAACGCATCAAGATCCTTGCTCAACCTTGCCAGCAAGGTACGCAGTTCGCGTTTTGTCGACTATCGCATTTACCAGTATTCTGAAACAAAAAAATGACCAATATTATGGTAAATGATTCTCTCTTTTTTCTCGACCAATAAAAATATAGAAAATATATCTTCTTATATAAAAGTAGATACAAAAAAAATTCTCAATGTCCCAGAGACATCAAGATTTTGCGAAATACAATCATCATGTATTTCACAATTCGCTTATTTTTAGAAAGATATTGCGTGTCTCTCGTGAGCTCAACGAAGGTATCGCGAACGATCGACGTGTGCGTGTAAAGGGTGACAAATTAAAAACATCGACTGGTCGAGTGAGTTCAAGCGACCCCGATGGGGCTGTTACGAAGTCAAGCACCGACATCCGTGTAGAACCCGATGAATTGAAATTCGCCCGGCCACGTGTCAGGTGAAGCACCCGGGAAAACGACAATATGCACGTGCGCCCGTACGCCTCGTAACTGGATACGACGAAAGAAGGGTAGAACACCATCGAGTTATCCGAAGGGTGATACGAGGCCGCGACTCCTAGTAGTCTAGTCCACACGTGACGCACTTGTAGATTACAAACGAAGTGTTGTGTTACGGAAAAAAGATCGACTTGCTTTTTCTTCAGCTCCTTTCGTTATTTTATTGCAGAGCGTCTTATCACAAAGAGCCCCTTTCCCTCTTTGACTTCCATCATAATTTCTATAGGTTTTCTATAATCTACATTCCAACATCTGCACAGTGATGTCTCAAGAAACAAATGAAAAAAAAAAACAATTTGTGATGTATGCAGAAGAGACAATACGATTCACGAAGACGGGAAATTAATGAGACATCGCACCACGAGAGGCTGACGAAGATGAATGAAATCATCGTCGCTTCTCGTCTCCAAAGCGTAGGAGTGCGATCAATGCAGCGGAACTTCGTATCACGTGCAGAACTCTCCAGACAATTCCGAGGCTATGTGAAAATCACGATATCAAAGTATACTTTTTTAAATATATATGCGATGCAAACCGAAGACGTATGAATCGCTCAGTCAAAACTTCTATTGTTGAATTGTAATTCCGCAAATTTTTTTTTATTTAAAGATTTTGCATCGGAAATATCTTGAAAATTCATTGTGTTTGCGTAAAATATAAAATAATTGCAATAATTTATTATTATTTTTAAATATAGTAAAAAAGTTTACTTTTTTAATACCAAAAATATTTGTATCAATTTTTCGATAAGCATTAAATAATTCGAAGAGATTTGTCTTACCTTGTTGAAAACTAAATCTCCTGGACATGCGACGGTGCGAGGACCGGATTTTTCGCAGATAATATACTGCAAGCAGTCTAGGGGATAAGGCAAAGTAATTGGCGTGTTGCTGTTGACTTGCACAGCTGGACATTTCGGAGTTCGGCATTGAGGAGCCAAAGAATCCTCGGGAACTTCATCTGGTAATGGAAACGGCGGTCCGGCAATAACGAATACGACGATTAAAGAAAGTAATGTTACACTCTGTATCATTGTTGTATTTCTGTAATGAAATATTTCAAATATTATATAAATATTATATGTATAGCGCAACATATAACAATTTTATCTTAATTTTAACATTTAATATGTAAATGTTGATCGAAATGCGAAAACTCGCATTTTCTCCTAATGTTCTAATCTCTATATAAAGAGAGCATGTATATTAACAGCGTATGTAGAGTGAGTCAAACTCAAACTTTCTATCTGCCTAAATTATTCTTTGCCAGCGAATCGTACGTGCTGGTGAAGTCAATGCGCGTGCTTTGGAAATTTTTATCATCTAAATTGTAGCCGCTCCTACTTCTTCGGAATGGACGCTGCGAACGGTACTTTATATGCAAGCGTTGCTATTGACATTTGCTTTTAAGTCTTATTTACTTTACAGTGTGTACATACATGCTAGGCCATGTATAGCTTATACATATTTCAAGAGAAAAGTAAAAGTTTTACTTTTTTATGTTAATACGCGCAAAACAACAATTGAAACCAGTGGGCTCTGCTTCTCACCCGCTCTCCCTTCTTTTTCTTTCTACAACGAGAATGATTAAAAATAATAATAGGCAGGACGTTGAAAGAGATCGGCCCGGAAAAATAACAACGATGTGGATTCGAGAACTCGATTTTGCTGTGTTGGCAAAACACTTTCAAACGCGAAAATCGCATTGGAATAGAATTGCACGCTTTGGACATAGCACGGAATAGAACCATGTTCACGTTTGGACATAGCGTATGCACCGATAAGTCGTTCGTGGACATGGTTACGTAATTGCCAATGTGCACCACCTCAGGACATAGCGCTGGCTTACAGGGCGTTGTAGCTATTACAGTTTGTCATATGATTCTGGCCGCTCTCAGTTTTCTCTCTGTTATAAGAGGAAGTACGAGAGAGATGTACTTTGCAACTTTTACTGGTTAGTGGCGTCATCTATTAGTAAAAGATGACACAATGTACACAACATCGCAACAACGCGTGACGTACGAGTCAATAAAACATTGCTGGCAGCTTCTTCACTATTCTTATTCCAAAAAGTTTTATTACAAAAAGTTTTATTACTTAATACTAATATTATTTAATATTGCACAATAAACTATATTAAATTTGCCACAAAAAAAGGCATGTAAAGTTTCCGTTTATCAAAAAACCTAGCAGTTATATAATAGTTTACGTAATTATATAGTATAGCAAATATATAGCAATGTATATTATATATATATATATATATAGCAATTATAATTTTTTAAAAGATTGATTTCAAACATCTTACCTTGTTCGGCAAAAAATCGTTAAAAATCAAGATTGTGTTGATCTATATGATGACTATATCCTTCTTATAGCGAGTTTAGAAGCCAAATAAATTCGTATAATAGACAAAAGATCGGTCTGTGTAAATTTGGAAGGAAGAGAAAGGAGTTATCCTTCTCAAAAAGCTGGTTCGACGGGTATAATAATTCATAGAAGTAAACCACGCTCTCTCGAAGCAGTGTCTCGATTAAATGAAGTTTGTTTTATATCGTGAATAAAATAAACTTCGATGTATAAATGTAAAAAAAGGAAACTCATTTTGATAAAATTGCAAATTCGTACAATATATATTTACGGATTATGAACACTAAAGACGAGTTATATTCCCCAGAGGTTCGTTTTTTATATCTTCATATATTTTAACATATCATAATCTTTTTGTTTTCTTGTAGTATGTACAAAGTGCGCAGGAAGGCTCGATAATTGATTTCGAAACGGTTGCCTCTTTCGATGGAAAAACATTTTTGTATAGCATCTAACTCTTTGTTACTGATAAGCTCCAACATTCGTCTAACCGACAATGCTTTCATCCATTGTTCCTTGGAAACCGTACCAATATTCTCTTTATCATAATCCTAAAAATATAAACATAATTTTCTCTTTAAAAGAGAGTTGTATATTTTAAATAATAAATAATTAAGAGGTTTTTGTAATTGTATTTTTTACATCGATTACAGCATTAATATAATTTACATCAAGACTTACTTGAAAAATTTCCTCCAAGTTTGGATTCGGTATTTTGCATAATTTATCCATTGCAGCTGCTACAGCAAGTCGTTCATTGAAGTTTAGAAAAACTCTTTCTTCGGAAGGCACGTGTTGTATAGGTGTTAAAAGAGGAGTTTTTTCCAAACCTCCTATCGTAACAGCTTCTTCCACAGCTGTCGCGAACTTTACATACTCGATGAAGTCCGGTCTTGGAGAAGGAAAAGAATGCAAGTTAAAAGATAGAGAAAGAACGCAACGGTTCTAATCGGTGATATTGAGACTACAAATATCGTACTTCAAAGGCGCTTGATAAACTTTCGTAATTGTATCTACTTCCGTATTTGTCAAATTACAACGAAGTTGATCCAGACTTCTGATAAAATCTGATCTCAAAATGACAAGATGATTATGCCTGTCATATTGACGCATAAATTCAAGAACCTGTATACATGGTTCGATCAATAAATGAACTTTCTAACTTTTGTTCTTCAACGCGATCTTTCTAACGCGATAAATTAAGCAATGAATTACTTTAATTCTCTCGCGCACAACTTTAGCTTTAATTTTAGCCAGAATCAATACAATGTTGGTTTCGTCCTCGTGAGGTTCGGACGGCGACTTTTCAGCGTTGATTCTTATCTTGTCTTCTAACATCTGACAATAAAGAGGTTCCTCGATCGGACGGGCTTCTAGTTCTTGCAAGAATTGAAAATAGTTAAAACCCAAATAGTCGTTATATCTTTGCTCTATCGCAAGTATTTCTTCCGGCGACAACAATATCGTCAGCATAAGAAGAATCTGTCTTAATTGAGATCTCGTCACGTGACCACAATTGTATCTGTATATACACGAACAATGCAATTGGTTTAATTGATTCAACAAAGAATTTTTTTACTGCTACTAATAAACGTATACTTGTCGTAGTTCTTGAAGAACGGCTTCAGATAAATTCTTCTTTCTTCGACTCGCTGTCTTACTCTTTGCAAAACGTCCTCGCAAAGTTCTCTTGTACTCTTAGGTTCACAGTGCCAATTTGATGCGCCTTTTCGAGGCAAATCGATTATTTCTTGGGGCGGTGACTCCACCTTCATATTCGGTAACTTATCGAGTCCCTTTACGGTGAAAACTAAGCAAAGATACACAAATATGCAAATATGCAAAAGTTTACATATAAATCGTGGAAATTGATTTACTATCAGACTGCACGTATCGGTTTTGGTTTTCGTTAGCAAACCTTTATCTATATCGTCCTCGAACGTGCGCCAGCATACGCGATCAGGATCACCCGGATCTTTGTAAAGTTCAATTAGATCAGTGATCTCCGACTCACGCAAAAACAAACGGCCCAATGACGATATCTGAAGCGCGTCCAGCGCTCTTCGAAATTGTGAAACGTTTATCCGACCGGAATTTAAGCAGTCAAAGTCCTGTATGGTCCAATACCCACATAATATTGCTTTCTATTAGTTCCAATCGCAGATAAGATATTATCGTATACAACGCGATAACATTATACTCAATTACTGAACACAACAATGTATTCCATATATATTCCATGCACAACATATTAAAATTTTAATAATCATGATAAATACTCTAATCAAACGAGTGATTAATTGTATCAGAATAAACCTTTAAGAACTCGTGAATACGTATTCGATGCTCGAAAACGTGTCTCTGAATGCGTTGAATAACTTCCTTCGTGGACATAGCCTCTTTTGCTGGTTCCATCACCGGATGAAACACCGATTGCTTACCAAACACTTGACTGGGTATAACTTTCCCAATTTCTGGTCGCGGCAGTTTTGGTATCTCGGCTGTGATTATCCGACCAGGAAATTGATAGAGCAAGTCCTATAAAAAAATAGAGTAGTTTACATATATAACAAAGATTATATGTAAACATTATATGTAAGATTATTAAAAAACAAAGTAAAAAGAGCAGTTCTCACTTTACTGAGATGTGCCATTCCATGTTTTTCTAAATAACATTGAATCTCTTCAATAGCTTTTAAAAATGACACGTAATCTATAGCGTAGGCGTTTTGAGCGAATCTTTTCACGACTAGACGAAACTCTTCAGGGCCAAGAATAATTCCCAGAAATTTTAAAATTCGACCGAAATGAGCTAGAGTGATCGTGCCATTGGATTTTGCAATCTGTAAAATATTTTTCAATAAAAGACATATTTTGCTTATTATTTGTTAAGAAATTGTTTATTTTACGCGCCATCTCGTAGTTCTGAAAATAAGGCTGAAGCGCAATTTGGCTTTTGATCACCAGTACAGTAATCTGAGTGAGTATCAGATTCAATATTTGTAGTTCTGTGCCACTCAAGGCATTTATATACTGCAGATCTTCGCATTTTGAATCGTTCACCAGAAACTTGTCTTTCTCAAAATCAAAGACTGCAGAAGATGAAATAGAAATAATTTGTGAGAATTCGTGTTAAGTATAATAATAAACAATTTAAACTTGTTTCTATCACATATGAAAATCTGAGAAAAAAATATTGAAAATTTGTAAAATTGCAATTATGCAAAAGACCAAATCTTACCGCTATCGTAAACAACTTCGCAAAATCGTTCATAATTCACTCGATCGTCCTCGGTCTTAAAATAAACCGCTAGATCGCAGATTTCTTTGTCAGATAAGTCAAGTATTTCGTTCAGAGGTCCGGCCAAAACAGATATGAATTCGGATTCTGCAATAATTTAATGAAAATTAATGTTGCAAATTTTTTAATGTAAACTAAAATATTGAACTAAAATATTGAACATATTTTAGAAATAATCTTCCGTACTCACTGAACGCATCTCTATAAATAACTGTTTGAACGCAGTACTAACTTTAGAATCAAAAATCATCGCTCACTGCGGTGCCGATATTTATACCTGATACTGAAGAGCGCCTATCCGGATCCAGAGATTTGTAATATTCCCACAGATTACAACCAACGCGAAATAAAGAGTTTCGTATCTTATTGCAGATACACCAGACATCGTATTGTTTTGAAACCTAAAATCACACTTTTTTTACAAATGCTTTTGTGTGAAAAATTTCCGTTTATCACTTACTGTTTCGAAAAAAAAAAAACTTACTTTTACATTTGGTTCCTCCGGCATTTTTTGAGCAATTTTTTTCGCGAACCTCTTACGATAATTTTACTCACGCGACGATAGACTATACGAACTAGCGAGAATTTGTGTGTTTGTTAACAAAACAAAATTCAATCGTTTGCGGAAAGAGATGCGTATAATCAAAAGAAATCTAGTAAAATAAAGCGGGCCTTTTTGCGGCTTTTATTGGCTGACAATTGTGCATGATCATTTCCACACCATTCCATTGGCCAGCAATTTTTCCGTCAACCTAACCTATCTTCATCGCGCGTAATCTTCCATGCGTGAAGCTCGCTCTTCTCGCGCTTTCCTTTCTTGTCTTCCGGTAGTGCTTCCCCGCCATTACTCATCGATTGGAATGTAACCAGGAATGTAAACATACCGTTTACGCTCGTGAATGAAACTCGATCTGCGAGTGATCAATAAACATACTCGCATACTCACACACACGAGACAATAATCGTGAGATCGGAAAGTAAACGATGAAGATCTGTAATCACGAAAGTGTTCATTACCTTTTCGGCAGATCTATACTTGTATAATGTACGCAAGTCGATTGTTAAATTGCATCTTGGCGTGATAAAAATTCATTACCTCTAAAAACATCTCGAGACACGGGGCGCCACGATCGCGTCGTACGGTTCTGAGTCGCGCAACGCGATTGGTCGATGACGCGTCAGAGAGAGATTCGTGTCCCGTGATGCTTTGCGCGCGATCTCGCGTATACGGGAGTAAGAAAGTCCTTCCTCTCTCTGCCCCCTGCCCATTCTCTGGTCGGTCTTCAACTGAGTTGGACGTAGCTGAGAACGTGTGGTGTGCATCACCGAGCAACTTCTCTCATTCGTTGCGAAGTGCGGTAGAATCGCACTCGTGTGTTTGACTACTTGCTTTGTGTGTAACAAAGTATTCATATCCGATAAAACAAGAAATGGCTGAACAGGAAAATAAGGATTTCAGCGAGGATATCGCAGAACAGAACTTCGCCGAGCAGAACGGCGAGGCCGAAAACGGCGGTTCTGGCGGTGAACAGCAACAAAATAATCAGGAATCTCAGGAAGACAGGTAACACTTCACTGTTTTTCTCGCAATCGCCTCACGTTCCAAGTTCGCGTTGGCCGCGTGCAAATCGACAATGTGTTCTTTTTTTTTTTTTTTCCGGTGCGTATCTAACGAAGCCACGCGTTCGCGCGCGCGTTACACAAAATGGCGAACGCGTGCCTGCCGAACGCGATCCGTTCGCATCCGTGTGACTCGAGCATTTGCGTTTCGATTATTTTGGCTCCCTCGTTTCACCGTGCCGTATAGAATTTTTTCGTTCGACGATTTTTGCTCGCGATGAAAATTTATCGTAAAAAAAACTCGACGTACACAGATAACAGTAGAGCACGATGCGAGTAGAAGCGCCGGTTTACCAAGCTTGGAAAAAGACGCGCCCATGCGTCTCACATGAGAAAATTTATCAAAATATGACAAAAAGTGCGAATACACGCGATACGATTACAAGTATTCGTATTGGATATGAAAAAATAAAAGAGACAGTAAGTTGTATGTTACGATTAACCCGCCGTCGTATAACTTGGCGCTTTGTTGCATGGGCGCGCTCGTTACTTCCGTTAAGACTACGTTGAAAGACATTTTTTTTTGAGAGTACGTGGAAAGGCCATTTCCGCGCACAACAAAATGAGTCACTTTAATTGAGCGTAACAAAAAATGACGTAAAATAGCAAAACCTACTATTGAAACAAATTATATATAATCTGGTTTGTGCTGTTGTAAAATATACGTTGCATAAAAGGTGTTAGTAGATTAAGTTACGACTACTGCTTCGCACGACATATCGTGTTTCTCCCCTTTTTTTTCTCTTTCTATCTTCTCTTTTTCAGCTTAACGAGATTTCGAGCAGGATGAATGAATTTGACCACCTGACAGTTTTGGTCCAATATATACGGGATTTTTAATCTGTGTAAAGTTTTTGTAATTGTTGTTGTGTCTTTAGTTATTTTTAATTTGATCGGAGAGATTTTGTATATCTCTTCTTTTTTTTGTTTTTTTTTTTTTTTTGCTACATTTGTATTCCTACAGCCTCTTGGATTTTTGCAAACTTCTTATGCTAGTTTGGGGTGTTTTTGCAAAGAACGGTAAGCATTAAATTCTAGAAATACATAAAAACTTCAAGGAAAGTGTAATCTTCAAATACTGTATTTATAGATTGGATCAAAATTAGAGTTTTCATGTACGTATGTACAGGTGATATATATTATTGTGTTTGTATTTTATATCAGAAGTATTGTTGCTGAATTTGAAGATTTACTTTCTCTTCATTAGAACAAAGAAAGTGACTTCTACGTACGAAATAATGGAAGTAAAAAAACAAAGTAGTCAAATAATTTATATATCGGCGCTCTACTCGCATTTATTATTCCTATAATTCCAAAAATCGATATAATATTGCATGCTGTATTCCGCAGAATAACCTAAAATATTTTTGTAATATCTAACATGAGTAAGCATTAGTTTGTAATTTTATGTGCTCTTGTTGCGCCAAGGAGGTATAAACTTGTCTGTTTGAAATTTCGTAACTTTGTGTATAAATTCTTTATTTCTGTTTCTACACATCTAGTTATTTAATTATATAATTATTAATCTTACATGATTCTAATATACATATATAATAAAGAGATCATTTGTGTGTGGGTTCTACAGTCGATAAAATTTGTACACACATCACGTGCAAATAACATATAGTAACATTTTTATAGAGCGTAAACTTTGTTGAATACATAATTTTTTTGACCAGCTGAATCTTCTATCTTCATACGGTTCATTGCAGCAGAATATTATGGTAATTGATTGTTGATTGAATATATATATATACGCTTACGTGTAATCAATGAGAAGCGCAAAAAGTATGACGCCTTATGCAGTGATTTCCGAGTCAGAATTATTGCGAGAAGTCTACATCCAAGTTCAAGTTCGTCACAAGACAAGGAATCAGTTAACGATCTCGCACAGATACACACTACTGGGTCACGCGTAATTTCCGACCCAAGATACCATTTGGGCGTGACTAAAAAGCACTGAATCAGATCAGAGATTCGAGTCAATACGGATCAATAAGAAAATCTCGAGTAGACCGGAACGCGATTAACCCCAGTTTATGTGGCTTGATCTACAGGTGATCAACAACGGTTTTCACATGGTGGGCGCCTCGCAAGTGGAAAACGTGACCCAACCAACAACGGCCAGTGACCACGGTATTTATAATTATAAATTATCGTGTCGACACTGCCAAAAGACGATAAGAGAAGGAATATATAGAAACTCGCAGCTCGTTGTAGAGTACAAGAAAGTCAAATAAATAAATGTTATAAAGAGAGAGACAGAATGAGAGAGAATGAGAAAGAGATAAATATATGTAATACGCGTACATATAATTACAAATAAATATCTTCTATTGCCGATCTATATTGTGTACATATAAATACATTATATATATACATACATATATATATATATGTTTGAAAGAATCAAGAGTTGTTTAATTGTTAAATTGTAATGTAAGGACAAGTTTCTTAGCTTTTTTTGATGTAGAGTTGCAGTCTTGCCATATGCCATATTCTTTGGACCAATCAGCAGTCTGAGTACCACTTGGAAAAGTTAAATCTTGTTTCCTTTAGGAGCAGCTGTATGTCATCTGGAGTTGTAACTTACACTCGGGTTTCTCATATGAACGTTTACATGAAAAAGTACTTTGTTCTCTCAATTGATTTTTATAAGCACATATTTACTTTTTTTTCCAAGTTTTCTTTTTATTCTTCTTTGATCTTTGTGGTGTGCATAGCAGTCCCTCTCATGGTTGCTGTTTCTCAAAACTTTTATTTCATGAAAAGCAGATATACGTTATAGTATACGCTATTTTGTTGTCTATAAATTCTCATTCATTTTAGGAATGTTCCACTATACTTTCATGCAATTGCTTTAAATCATTGTGTTTATTATCATAAGAAAACTTTTCTAAATTTTAATATGAGTGATCTAATTAGCTAGTAGTTAAACCTATGCGTCCGTACTAGTCTGTAGATATACATATTTAACTAATATATTTACATATGTAAACTATGTATAATTTTTTTGTTTCCTGCCTAAAATTTGGATAGTTAATGTATCTCGGTAATTCAGTGCCCCTTTTGCGAATGACAATACAGGTCTGTTACGTTCTCGTATATCGTCTGCATTCAGATTTTTTTCATACCTTAACACTAATTCTGATCTTTCCAGGAGTCGAGTTAATTTTTTTTTTTTACTACTAAATAAAATTATTTTTCGTTATAAAAAAATTAAATTTCACTTTGATTCTAATCAGTGATGGTAACTTTAATGCGTTTAAAAAAAAAAATCATTTAGTAAAATAAATTGGTTTCGTTGCTTTTGCAGGTCGACCGGAGTTAGCGAGGACTCTCTGAATGATAGGTACTTTTATATAATTTTCATTATTTTTTTTTCTATTTTTGTATTTGTTTTTGCATGATGGTGTTAAGAGAATGAAAAAAAGAAAATTGCGCGCGATACGAGATGCTACTTAATATGAGTTCCATAACTTGTATAATAGTCACTTGCGAAAGAGGCCAAGATCACACTGCCACATGCGCTATTTTTTACCGTTACAGATATCTTCTTCGCGCGCAGTTGCAGAAATTTTAAAAAGTTATCAACACCATAGACTTAAATACTGAGTCTATTTTTCTTGCTATATAAACATTCAATTCTTGTAACAGTAATTAAAGATTTAAGAGAGACCACGATATACTGTTTTTTACTCCAATTAGATATAATTTTCTTTTTTCTCTACTGTTTGCAGGAAATTATTTGTAGGCGGTTTAAGTTGGGAGACAACCGACAGTAAGTAATTTTGTTTTTTTTCTAAAATGTTTACATATTGAAAAATATGTAACACAGTGTAAAATAACATTCAAACAAAGTTAGTTATGATGATTTTACTTAGGACACCTTTGTATGGCACGATGCCACATGAAAATAAATTTTTACTGAGATTGATAATATAATGAATCATTTATGCAATTATTTTTTGTGGCATACTTAAATTTTTCAATAAAATGTATGTATTTTTAGAGGAACTGAGGGAACATTTTAGTTCTTATGGTGACATTGAAAGCATCAATGTCAAAACAGATCCTAATACAGGGCGATCGAGAGGATTCGCTTTTATTGTTTTTGCTAAGGCCGAGTCTCTCGACAAGGTAAAAAATTTGTTTCTTACATACAAACTTTATTACTGATTTGTTGTAAAATGTTGGATAATAATATAATTTTTCAAATATTAGAACTTTTAATGATATTTTTCTTTTGCAAATATGAAGTGATATTTAATGATGATATTTAAAGTCAGTTCTGCTACTGAATGCTATGACGACGAAAATTTTATTCTGAAGTAGTATTTTAAATCCTTATTTAGTATCAATTTGTGAAAATAAAACAATCTTTTCAAGAAACTTGTATTATTTTTCAGATCATGGCAGCTGGCGATCATGTTATCAATAATAAAAAAGTTGATCCCAAAAAAGCGAAAGCCAGACATGGTAAAATATTTGTTGGTGGATTATCAACAGAACTTTCTGATGATGATATCAAAAATTTCTTTTCGCAATTCGGAAATGTAAATATTTTGTGCGTTAATTATTATTTTGAACGAATGTTCCGGTCAATAAAAAAACATTTAAAACTTTTAGATTGTTGAAGTGGAGATGCCGTTTGACAAAACAAAGAATCAAAGGAAAGGATTTTGTTTCATTACATTCGAGTCCGAGCAAGTGGTTAATGAACTCTTGAAAACGTCAAAACAGACAATAAATGGCAAAGAGGTAAATGAATAACTAAAACCTGACTAGTACTAACTAACGCAAGAATAATAAGACTGATAATAGATGATAAAAAAATGTACAGAAATTATTACAAGTTTAAAGTAATTAATCAATTATTATCTGTAATGTTTTAAATAGGTCGATGTGAAAAAAGCTACACCTAAACCTGACGGAATGATGAACATGCGAGGAGGGCCCGGCGGCCGTGGTGGTCGTGGCAGAGGCGTTAGAGGTCGCGGATTTAGTCAAAGTGGATGGGGACAAGGTGGATATGGCGGTTACAGCAGTGGTGGCTACGGTCAAGGATATGGCAGTGGATATGACGGTTACGGCTATGATTATTACAGCGGTGGTGGGTACGGCGGCTACGGAAACTATGACTACAGTGGATATGGTAAAAGTTTATGTTGGAATCAATAGAGTTTTTGTGATTACTGTTAAATTTTTGCTTTTGTTTTCTTATCTTTGCTTGAGGGAAAAAAGCAATACGTGATCAAAATCTTATGGGTTGTTACTGATATCCTGATATCTATGTATCACTTAACTGTATAGACTTAACAGATGCACGTATATCTGATTTAAAGTTTTTGAGCATGTAATTTAATTATTTTGTTTTATCATTGTCTTGTTTTTTTATTCAAGATTTTCTGGTTTCAAGAGTTGTACAGTTACTGTACTATGTACAAAATAAGCATTTATGTGTGTATATATGTGTGTGAAGATTTAAAGCAAAAATGTACATCGCGCAGCAATGAATCGGTTCTATGAGAAAAAAGATTACCTTTATACATAATTTTTTTTCTATTATCTACTGCTGTTGCACAGATGTTGAGACAGAAGATAAATCAGCGTGTAGAAAGAAATATTTTTTCTCTCACAGAACCAATTGTTTTGCAATGTGCAGAACAATTACGTACGATTGTATATTGAATCTTTCGTATCGCTTTCATCTTATCATCACATATATGATACGTTACATATTTCTTTCACATTTTAAGATGTCCACATAATACAATTGCGAATTCTTATTTGTAGCAACACATAATTACGCACATATTTTTTTTCGAAGGAATTACTTTCGGCATGGCATAAATTTTTTTAACGTACTTTAAATCTGCATGTCGTTTTCTAGATTCATATAAATTATTAAAATCTTTAAAGATGCTTTTTAACGGTTGAGAATTATCAATAATTTCTGCTTTTATTTTATAATTGGCACGCATTTTGTGAATATTTCTTGTTGAGCAATAAAATTTTTTAGTGCATTATTAATTAAAAATAAGTAAGAGATTGTTTAGTAGGTTTTTTCCAAACACATAGAATTTGTTTTCTTTATATTATAGAAAAAATTATTTATAATTTTATTAGTATATATCAATTGATACCGGTTTTTTTTTACACCGTGTGTTTCATGAAACGCAGATGGATATGGCTATGGCAGTGGTAATTATGACAGTGGCTACAGTGGGCGCGGTGGTCCTCGCGGTAAAGGTACGCAATTATAGCGTCCTTTTTTTCTATTTTATCTTCTCCAAATTTTATTTAACGTTCATGTCAGATCTGTATACTATATTACATTTCCAATTTACACATATTTCAATTTGTCACACATATGCTTTTTTTGTAAGTTAACCTCTTATATCTCTTACTACGTAAAGCTTTAGCTATATTCATTCATTACTCATTTCTTCTTTGCACTTTTCTGAAATAAAGTAAATTATAGGTGTGGGTATATGTGCTTTTTTTTAATGGTGATATTTAACAGCTAAATGTGTTAATATAAGAAAAATAAATAAATAAATAAAAATAGTAATACGTATACAAGTACGTCTCATTTAACATAAGTCTTACTTTTCAAGTATGAAAAACACATTTTTTCATAAATAGAATCACTTAACAATTACATCTTCATATATATTCTATGTCATCGATAGCTCCAGAAAGCTATAAAGAAACTGGGGGAAAAAATGGAGCTTACTACCTTAGCCTGTAACCTCTTTCTTTGTAGATTCTCTAAATAGCTTTTTCATCTCTATTTTCTTTCTTTTTGGAGAAGTGTGTGTGCGATTTTCCCTGTTGTGTAGTTTGTTTCTATTTCTATAAAGATAGACGTGTACGTAACTAAATGGGAAGGTTGTCTAACATTGTATCACGTGGATGTGTTCCAGGTGGTTCAGGCTACGGTGGCAAGCAGAGGGGTGGTAATCGTCAAAACCAGAGGCATCAACCTTATTAATAGGAATCCTTCTTTGTGACTGCAATGCATTGTGCGTTGTTAATTATGGTGAGTCACTTGCCAAGTTCCTAATGTTTCCTCCTCTGATGTACGGATACTATTATTGGAAATTATTACAATTATTTATATCAATGTTTGTTTTTTGTATCTTATATCTTAGTTCTCTTAAGTGAAAGTTTTAATTAGTATCACAATTAAAAATCTTGAGAATATGTGTACGGAGAATTGAGGTATATTTTCCTTTATAATCTTTGATTCATAATTTGTTATTTGATTTGTGATCATTGACGTTGTTGTATCTTATTTTTGAATTTAATTCTATGGTAATATTATATGTGTAACAACATTTGTTTTTGTATTCATTGTGCTAGCTCGTTACATGTTCGAACGTTACTCTTGCATAACTTTCGTTTTCAATATACTATAATATGCTTTAATCTGTTTACTATTCAGGTAATGTATAAAATTTCTTATTTTTAGGTACTGACAGACGCAACACCTATCGCCGATTGTCCAATCATTCCAAGTTCATTAAACCGAAAAATCGCAACTCTTTTGCAACAAACCAATAGGTCGTTGTTAATTTTGTGTTTTTTATGATTTCTAAATATACTTATGTACACATACGCGTGTAAAGAAGCGTATATGTATCTACATATTAAGCGTATATAGTGTAGAGGAATATATGTGTACACACCATACGCGTGTGCTTGCACACATTTGCTTCATAAATGTTATGGAGCATTTGTGGATGTACAGTAAGCAATGAGTCAATAATGAATCGGTTTCACAAGAAGGGAAGGAGGTTTCCCTCTTCTATGCGCCGTTTTTATCCCATTTTTAGTGGCTGAAAAAAAAACGACACATAGGAGATGAACTATAGATTTAATACAATAGATTAGATGTATTCTATATGGTATAGCAATACTTGTTGATGAAGTGTATGCAGAAAAATTTATTTTTTTTCTCTTTTACTTCGCGCCTTGCAACAGTAGAAATATGTGCAGAACAAGTAATTCTCGTGCATTGAAATATTTAAATGATAACATGATAAAACCATTTTTCCGTTGTATATTTTTGGATTCTTCAACAACACTCGAGAATAGTTTTATGGATCTTTAACATACTTTTTTTGACATCAGATCTAGACACACACACACACACATTTATATATATAATATATATTTATATATTTACATATATATTATATATTATATGTAAATATATATTATAATATATATAATATATATTATTCTATTAGGGAAATCGTCCTTCCCACGCGACGCAATTTATTTATAAGGAATTTACTATTTATCTTGTGAATACTTACTTATATTACTGATCTTTAATTTTTGTCTTTATACAACATCGTGCGAAGACAAATCTGAAAGTAAGCAGGCAACTTACTTTATTTTTTACGTAGCATTCGGAAACACTGGAACACAAAGAAAGAAATGATAGTTATAATGAAAAACTATTTATAATGACTATGTAAATGAGAAACGAAGTAGAAATTATAAAAATGCTTCCCCTTCTTAGCGATAGAATTAAATAAATTTGTGTATATATTATGTACAAAACATATATATGTATCATGTGTACGTATATATGAATATAATATAATATATACACATAGTTTTGCTCTTTGAGCTCTTCTATGGAAAATTATAATATCTTTTCTTTTTTTAAAATGCGACTACACACATGTATACAGAAGATTTATGTTTGAAATGTAAGAACAATCTCATTTATATATTAGATTTAAATAAGACTGACACGCACATTCATGTAAACAATTTATCAAACAAAAATAGAAAATCTGATACTTTTTTTTTTACCAATTCCGTAATGTGATTGTAGATGGAATATTACAATATCTCAAATTTAACTCTGCGCACGTATGCCACAACAGAATTCTTGATTCAAGAATAGTGCGCATACACGTTACATTTGTATATCAATGATTTCATTTTCTTGTGCGATGAGAAAACAAAACTTTTAAAGTACAAGAAACCGAAGAAAAATAACGGATATTATATCTTTTTTCAAAGTATACTACTCCGATCTCTCCTTGTAAAAAGTATTACAGTATACAAATTTAATAGGATAGTTTTATGTTAAAGAAAATTTTTTTTGAAATAAATTATCATACTCACTAATTGTTTTTGAATTCTTTGAGACGTTTTCGTATATTATACATAATTAGCCTCGACAAGTCAATATCGAGGAAACCCGATCTGAAATGGATCTCTGATACATGTTATCGTTACTGTTACCTGTCGAAGTCGAAACTAATTTTCGTCAAGTGAGTTCTACGAAGTGGCGAATTTCCTGTCCAAGTCGATATCTCGACATTCACGTTCTATTTATCTGAGATTTCTTGCGTTCGGTTCGACAGACCAATATCCAACTTCCGGCCGCACTCGAACGTTGGTGCGATAGCGGAGCTCGTAACGTTCTCGGTTTGTGATACGTTTGCCATTTCTCAAATTGCAAGGTTATTCTATCCCGTTAAGTAAGGTGTCATGCTCAGAGTCCGTCATTGACGGAAATGTAATTTAATTTTTTATAAGGTGATTACGATGAGCAATCTTAACTCTGTTATTTTGCAATATTTTTTGTATCATTTTTTATAGAGGATAATACACTATATATTTTTTTTTAGTTTCTTTTATCATTTATTTGTCGGATTTAATCGGTGTAGACACACATTTTTGTCATCGACTTATACGCTAATAAATAAAAGCTAAGGACACATTATCATTTATTATAATTACATACAATTTATATAACGTATATACATAATTTTTTTGTTTTAAAAGAAGAGTCGTGTCATATCCGTCCTTTCTTTGTCGTCACAATAGAGCAATAATCGAAAAGTGAAATTTGGATCAGAATTAAGTTTTAAAATAAATTACGTAATAGTCAACGAAATATTATATAAATACAACATGCACTAGGTGACCTATGAATACATACATAGATTACGCGCATTTCTATTTTTCTGTTTATATAAAACCATTACTTCTCGTCCGTGTTTTTTCTCCTTTTCCATTTTTATTCTTCGAGTGAAAGCTCTCTATTATATTTTGTTCGTGCAACGTGATATGATTATAGACACACTTTATTTTTATGTACGACTTTATTATTCTCATATTACCCTATTGTACATTCCCTTTTTTCTCTGGGTGCCTATTTCTCAGTGCTATATTTCAGACTTTTTTGTACCAGCGTCACGTGAAGTCTCTTCAAATAAATAACACATGATACATCTTTTCACTCTTCCTAAAATCTTTTTTTTTTTTATTCCCTTCGTGTCTAAAACGTATTATCATCAGATTTGCTGTATTTTTCGCGTTTGTTCGCTATGTGAGAGAATTTTATACTTAGTTCTTTAGAATATATTAAATAGCGTACTTTTCTTGAGAACTAACACTGCGCAGGTATGGTATATTATATTGCAAACAAATGCGCGCGATGTTTCTCCAGGAAATTCTCATGCGCACTTTTCGCAAAATCTCTTTAATATTAGCTTCTCGATGGTAATTAGACAATGAGACTACAAAAAACAGCGCGCAAACATGCGATATATATATATATATATATATATATGGAAGCATGAATAATCATAACGCGAATGTTTGATTGCCCCGTTGTCGGATAATGAGGCGCTAGTTAACGCGTGATAAATTCTATATACAATAAATCCAATTGGATTCCGGCTTAATTAATTATACGTTCGAGCGCGATCGTTGAATATTTAGGGCGACGTGCTCGATTTGATCGAGTGTGTTTTATATTATCCATAAATTCTAGCTGAGACATCATTGAATAGATTTGTGCGGTTCTGTATGCGTTAAAGTGTGTGTGCGAAAAAATACATTTTGTTGTGAAAAGTTTAAGCTCGTGAGATGTACGGAAGAATACAACGGAATCTCTTCGAAGTGGTATGAACACACGGAAATATAAAAGAAAGAATTATGTTTATCACTTTCTATTTAATACTCGCTTTCAAACGATCTATTATATGTAGACAATATCGTTTTAGAGGTTGACTATAGTACGTATTTCATGTAAACATTTAATATAATACAATTTCGTGATCTAATTGTGTGGATGATACTACAATTTGTGCTCGCTTTTGTGGAAAAAATATGTATACATTTCTGTTCTGTATATTTAATTAACGCTAGAATCGCCAGATATCATTAATAGATTACCGCCATAAATTGTTTTAGATTTTATAATAGAAATAATTTTGAAACTCATGTTCTCTTTCTGTCATAACGAGAGAACATGATGCATTTTATTTAATTTATATTAAATGTTTTTGATATGTGTGATATAATTTCGCAGAGCGCTATAATTAGTGATAATATGTATGTATACCAATATATTTGTGCGAGTATAGTATCTTTTGTGTAGTGGCATTTAAAATTTATATCTAGCGACACTTCTAGCATTAATATGATCATAATGTATACGTGTGAAGGTTGACCTGTTTCGCAGAGGTTTATATGCATGAAAAATATCTTCTCTTTGCATCTTCGTTTACACAATTCAAACTTCGAATAAAGTTTATATATTAGATACAACCTTCAAGCTTTTTCTAGATTTTTTACCTTCTCGATATATTTTTTTCTTTCTCGGAATAGTTTGTTTTTGTACTTTTATACGATTAATTGTAATTCTCAATAATTAAAAAGCCGATGCGAGAGTGTTTTACATACTTCATCAAATAACTCATCTGATTGACAGAGTGCGGTCATTATATTATATTATTGCTCTTAATTACATATCTCTTACTAACATATCGAGTCACGATTAACATGCTCAATGAAGTAAAGTTGCCGTTTTTTATTATTTATATAATTAAATTTATTTCTGACGTGTGATTCACAATCTCAGTTAAATAAAATTTAAAGAAATAAGGTTTTGCTACATAAAATAAAAATGGCAGAAATTGAATTTTATGATTAAGCTAAACGCGTAATTGTAGAAGTTTTTGGTATCTAACACTTATACTTTTTTTTTATACGTAGCGAAAGAATAATACGTGCAAAACCTTTTTAGCTCGTATATTGTTTTAACATCTCTACATATGTATTTTTTTATGATTATACATATTCTTATGAGATTATAGCCATTGATAATGCATTGCCATTCACTGTTGGTAAATACATTTCTATACATATATGTACGTATATAACATTCAGTTTTTCATTCAAACACATTGATACGATGCTGTGATGTTGTCTAATATTTTATAAATGTTACGATCATAATTTTGCACTACATGACAAGATAACATAAGATAATATATCGTAAGTGCCCATATATTTATAAACGATCTTATTTATTTTCTTTATACATAATATATGAGTTTAGCGATTTAATTTCCCCACAATTTTTCTCATTTTTTCTTATGATACGATTTCCTATCTGAGAGCTGCGCGCTTGTTGCTTGACGTATAGGTAGATACATAAAACATATATATATATATTTATTTATTTAATTTATTATTTCTGACTTATATTACATATTTTCATTCTTCTCCACTCTTTTTTTCTATGATATTATTATTATTTTAAATCTTATAGCTCACACAATATTTTTCATGTCGAAAAGAGAATGAGAACAAAGAAAAACCAGAAAATGCAATATTCTCCTGAGTAACGAAATCAAGACTCCCTACACACTCGTCTAAAGTTGGTTCTCAGTTCTTTCAACAATGACTTACTAAAACTAATTTATCTGCAATTATAATCAGATTATTACATTCTTTCAGGCGCATGTGGATCGGAGTTTCTAATATTACGTATATCTTTGCAAATGTAAACTATATGATTATTTTTGTTTGTCGCTGCAAATTTTAATATATAGTTGTGATTTCGAAGAAAACATTACATATGTATATTAACTGTAGAAACTTGCATTCGTATCAGACGAGAATATATTTGATAAATATATTTTCTAAATATGCATTCGTATCGACTGTAACCTAATATTTCGCGGAACGTAACGAGCATTACAAAAACATTCGTTAATCATTCATCGACACAGTTTAGTTGGCGCATTTTTTGGTCCTTGTATTTCCACAGCGCACGAAGCATTCTAAATTCTTTTCGGATAATGCAAAAATGACGTTGACACATAAATATTGAATTCGAAGTTAAACGTATTAAGTCTTGTGCGCTGTCAAGTCTCAAACTTCGTTGAGGTAGTATCTATGCGTTAGACAAAAATCGAAATCTTCAAATCAAACGTAATGAAAACGGTGAGACAATTCCATTTTTCTTTTTTTTATGTCATTGTTCTCTGCGTCAAGCGAATTAAAATCAACAGACAAATCAAAATTTCAAATACTCTAGTTATTTGACCTATCGCGACACTCGAATAAATTTCCTAAGCAAATATGCGTTTTTTTNTTTTTTTTTTTTTT